GTGGATGCGAGCGGGTCTGGCAGCGGCGAGCGTGAGGTGGGGAGGAGGTGCAGCGCACAGCGTGTGGAGCCGTGAACAGGGCCAACTGATCGGAAGCCGATTAATCGATTATTGAAAAAGTTGACAACTTTTTCAATAATCGATTATGTCGATTAGTTGTTGCAGCCCTACACACGACATATCTAGTTGTTGGCTAGCGTTCAGCTTTACACAGTTATAAATAAAGATTGAAAAGAAAAAAAATCAGAATTAGATGAATCTCAGATACGGATTGTGGGGAAGAGATATTTCAGCAGACGGACTTATTTCACTATAGACACCTTCAGTTTAAAATGTCTGATGACAGAGAGCAATATGTTGTATATTCGGAATGGAAACATACAACCCAACATATTGCAAGTTCTGCTCGGGAAGTTTTGCACATTTTTCTAACCTCAGTACAGCTAAGGCCAGGGAAGGAACGCTAAAGGGCCAGGGAAGGAACGCTAAAGGGCCAGGGAAGGAACGCTAAAGGGCCAGGGAAGGAACGCTAAAGGGCCAGGGAAGGAACGCTAAAGGGCCAGGGAAGGAACGCTAAAGGGCCAGGGAAGGAACGCTAAAGGGCCAGGGAAGGAACGCTAAAGGGCCAGGGAAGGAACGCTAAAGGGCCAGGGAAGGAACGCTAAAGGGCCAGGGAAGGAACGCTAAAGGGCCAGGGAAGGAACGCTAAAGGGCCAGGGAAGGAACGCTAAAGGGCCAGGGAAGGAACGCTAAAGGGCCAGGGAAGGAACGCTAAAGGGCCAGGGAAGGAACGCTAAAGGGCCAGGGAAGGAACGCTAAAGGGCCAGGGAAGGAACGGTAAAGGACCAGTGATGGAACGGTGAAGGTCTGGTGAAGGAACATTGATGGACCGGTGAATGTGTCTGGTGAAGGAACTTGATGGCCTGGTGACATTTTAGTGAAGGACCAGTAAAGGGCCCTCTGGTTGTGCAGTCTTTATTAGACAGTCACACTGTAAATATGTGGAAACATTTAGGCTCCTTATTCTTTCGGGGCAAAAATAACCAAAATCTTAAATATTTTCAGGGCATTAGCACAACAAAAGATAAGTTTAAAAAAAATAAATAAAAAGGAAAAATTCGGTAAATGACCCTCTTGCCACCTTAAGCCAGGATGTTGGAAAGTCCGTGAGAAATCTGTACGGCTTCACCCACCACATCTTGTGGATTAGCAAAGTTATGTTCACAACTTCCGTTCTGCTGGACGTCATGGAGGAACGATGCCAGCCACCACTAATGGCTGATAACAGAACAATAGCCGACATGGCAGCATTAGATAAGCCCCAGAAATGGCATTCTCTGTAGATCTGGGGGGGTTTAATATCTTGTACAACGGAATGTGTGAAAGTAGTCGGGAGCGATTTCACATAGCACTATTTTATTTCATCATCCTTCAAGGCACATTTTAACACCTAAAAATAAAATAAGGCATCTCATTCCCACTTCAGGGAAAATTATACTCACAGATGTAGTAATATTCGTGGCCCACGTGAAACTCGTAGCCCAGGGAGAAGGCGCTGTACCGTTGGAACTTCTCAGAGAATTTGATGGGGCTGTGAGGCGAGTGGGGGCGATTACATTCCCAACGTTTTGAGCCCTGGCTGATGTCGCAGGTACGATAGCCCTCGTAGTTCACCATATAAAGAATGTATTGCTCCATCCTATGGTCGGCTATAGTCTCATTGTAGTGCGGACAGTAGATGTCTAGATAATCATTCACGTTCACTTGGACGGTGTAGCCATCGCGCCGCAAGCTGAAAGACAAAGACAAGAGCGGTCAGCAAAGTTGGAGTAACCAGGAGATGAAGTGTAGAACTATACCGAGCAGCCAGTCCCCCCCCCCCCCAACA